TATATATATTTTATACTTTAACTCATTTCGAATGCATCACATCTGAAAAAATTCAGATTGATTCAGACATTTCTCAATCATTATATTATTTTAATAAAATTAGAATAGAAATTCAAATCTGAAATCCTTTTTTGATATAATGAATTGAAGAAATAATTGTCTTTAAAAATTTAATAAAACTCTGCATATTTTCGAAAAATGATATGCAATTGAAGTTTTATTGTAAATTATACTTTTTTAGTCTCTTGAAATTAACTTAAAACTAAGAACAGTACATATAATATATACTTTTTTTAATCATAGAAAATTTAAATTCCAAATCAATACTCTTATGTTTCAATAATTAATTGCGAAAAAGATACTAATTTTTATCACATTTTTTTATCTACTCTATTAAATGGATCTTCAATGAAAAAAATTGCCTTTTCCTATTTTTTTCTTTTTATTATTATTTTTCAGAATGCTGGCTACTCATAATAAAAGGCGTGAACATACCATCGACAGTGAAAGCCGAAGACACCGATTATGTGATTCTGGATTGCGATTACGATCTCGAAGATACGCCAAGCAACGGATTAGTGGTAAAATGGTTCTTTAACGCAAACGAAGTGGCTTACCAATGGATATACGGTAGGGATCCTTTGGCCGGAGATATTACACGGAAATACGTTGACTTGAAGTATAAAGCTAGCAACAATCCATACACTACGTACCGAGCCATGAAATTGAACAAGCCCGGTATCGATCTTAGTGGCGAGTACAAATGTGTCATATCCACTTTCGCGGATGAGCAGTCTGCAAGTGCTTCCATGCTTGTATATTGTAAGTACTTTATTATTAATTTATGATTTTTAATGCGATTTATATCAAATATTATATTTGATTTGAGATTTTCTTCTTTTTTATTTTTTTTTCGTTTGGTTTTTTTATTTTTTTCACTCAATTTAATTTTATTATTTTTCTATTCGATGGAATACGTATATGTCAAACGAACTACATTCTTTATTTCTAATAGACATTTCTTTCATATGAAGTGGGCTCAGAAAAATATTAGATATTTCTTCTACGAAGAAAAAGACTTGACTTAACTATATTTATAAATATTAAAATCTTAGATCAATATGTGAAATATCAGATTTCATCTAAAAATATTAATATTAATATTAATATAATACGAATTCTTGATATTTTTTACCAAATATGAAATCAAGATTTGCAATAATTGATCGAGTTAAAAGATAATTTTATTTTCTTATCTACAAAATATTTTTACTTACACTTTTTTGTCAAAAGATATTTCTTAAAGAATTATTTATTAAAATTCAAAGAAGAATTCGCGCTATAATTGGTTATGAGATTCTCTCAGTAAGGAAAATATTATTAAGAAACAATGTTTTTCTTCTTTTGTCTATTATTTTTCGAAGAAGTAATTTTCGAGATGATTTAAATAGTAGCTTAGAAGTGAATAGAACAAATTTCAATATTGTTTCACAAAATGTTATCTATTTAATATTGATCAAAAAATATAAAAAGATATAAAATATGATAAATTATTATTTGATTAAAAAATTTTTAGAGATGAAGAAATTTATAATTATGTTTTACATCGAATGTGAATTAATTCAAATAGATGTGATTTTTTTATGTAATCGAACTATTTTCTTTCAAAATTGAAGAAACTTTATTTGAAAAAATTTTCAATTTTTTAATTAGGTTTTTTCAGGTTTTAGACTTTTTTAATAATTAATGGTAGATGCCAATTTTAATGCAATTTTACATTATTATTTAAAATGTTTCATTTCTAATTCATGTTATTTTAAGTTATTGATAATTTTTTATTTGAGATACGTTCTTTTTTAAATACTTATAATTTTTAAACAATAAAAAGTATCAAAAAATAATTCGTTAAATTAAAGTTTTACTGAAAATGAATTAAATATATATAAATCTATATAACAAAATTTCTTAAAAAATTAAATATTTTAAATTTTCACGTATGATTAGTAATAATATAAAAAAAAATTTTAAAAATGATATTTGAAAATATAATAAGTATTTGAAAATATATATTTGATTATTATTATTATTTCTATTATTTCATTATTTTTTTATATATTTTTTTATATGTATATATATTATTAAATATATAAGTTATTTCAGAAATAAATAGCAAAATTTTGGTATTTTATTTATGATAGAATTCATAGAAATGTTTAAAATTTATTAAAAATAATTATTAATAATAAGAAAAATACGATTAAAAATAGAATATGATACTAAATTTTAATCATCTATTTCTGAAGTATTCTTCATGCTTAAATGGGATAAAAAAATATAATATATTTCTATTTTATTGAAAAAAAATAAGCATTTCTTTATTTATTAAAACTCAATAAAAATATATAGACAACAAATATTATTTTATTCACTTATATTGTAAATATATATAACTTTAATTATCACATTTTTATAAAAAATATTTATGTACAATTAATGTACAATTTAATAAGTTATATATAATAAATAAAAAAGAATTTTAATAATTTAGATAGAAATTTTATTATGTATATGTATATACATCAATTTCATCTAAATTTTTACAAAATAATAAATTGTACATATAAATATTTTCTATAAATATATGATAATTAAAATTATACGTATTTATAATGTAATAAATATAATATTATTTCATTTAATTTAATTTTACTATAATGAAAGTAATTTGAATCATGATATTTTAGTGGAAAGCGAAAGATTATAAACTACTTTTTTCTATATACGCGATTATTTATATATAAATTAGGACGAGCAAATTTTTATATATTGAAGAATGGATTATGAATATATAAATATGAATATCCACAATTGTATATAAAGAAATATAAAAAATATCCAAAATGTATATAAAGAACAAAAATAATATTTGAATCAATGTTTGAATCAATGTTGAAACAATGAAATATTTTTTTCTTTACTAATTTAAAAAAGAAAATAATATGAAGAAAATTGTAGAATGTAACTGAGATGAATTTCTTTTTCAAATAAAAAAATTTTAATTTTGAAAAAAATAAATAAAATTAAATTTTTAAATTAAATTCATAATTTGATTATTTTAAAAAGATAATTTATAAATTAATAATTAATAATATATAAATACAGATAATTAATAAATTGAATTAAATTAATAAAAACTTATTTATTTATTTATTTATCATTAAAAGACGTGATTTTTTACAAAATTACCTATATTTTCAATTATAAAAATTATTATTTAAAATAATTTAATAAAATAAATAGTCAGCAATTATTAGTGCAATTAAAATAACATATACAATCAAAAAAAGTCTCCATATCTTACAAAAAAAATTTACTTAAACTAAAAATTCAGATTTTGATAAAAATTTTATACATACAGCATATATAATAGATGTGGAGCAATTTTTTTATTGATAAGAAATCTCTTCGAAAAGATTAAATCTATCTCCAAACTTTTAATATTTTTTTAATTTTTATAATTAATTATGCTTGACATTCTTTTTTATAATAAAGTGATTAAATATTAAAAATTAATAAAAAATATTTTTAGTTAATTTTTATCATATTATTATAAAAAAAATTTTTCAAGCAAAATTATATAAAATAATTAGAAATGCTAAAATTTTGAAAATTATTTTTTGCTTTTTCAAACAGATTTCCTATCGATAAAAAAATTGTTCTATATATAACTTATATTCTACATATTCACAAATTTTCATTAAAATTAAAATTTTTCGTTTAATAAATTTTTGTTAAGTAAATTTATAAAATAATGTACGGAAACTTTAATAACTAACTATATTTAAATAATAAATGATATATAAAAAATGAATTTTGTTTTTAACTTTATTTTTTCACAATCATTTAAACATTAATTTTCTTTTATTATTGTTTTTGTCTCAAAAAAAAAGTCAATAGATAAATATATATAATTCAGCCTTTATCTTTTCATTCCTTGTTTTTATTTTTCTCTCTTTTTGCTCTTTCCTTCTTTTTCTTTTTTTTTCTTCTTCCTTTTTTTACTTTCACATATATTTTATAAACTTTTTTTCATATAAAATTCGTACATGATTTAAGTATGCAATAATTTTATATATATAAATCTTTGTTCAATCTTTGAAAATATGGCGAATGAGCGATTCTGTAGCCTTGAATGAATGAATACTATCTTTTCTGAATACTATTTTTTTTATTTAATTTTGAGCAATAAAAATGATATAATCATCTAATAGAAGAACAAAAAACAGATTTGACTAATGATGAAAAATAATTGTTAACATATTTTTAAAAATTTTTTAAAATATGTTAATTAATCGAACCAAATAAAAAAATTTTTTATAAGAAATTATTATTGTATATTTATGTAATAATTTTGAATTTATTTATTGAGTATTCAAATTATTGAACGGGAAAAGAGAATTTAATAAGAAATAAATAATAATATTTACTAATTTATTTAAATTTATAATTTTTATAAATGATATTACAATCTGTAAAGCAATTTATAACATATATTACTATTATATTATTACATTATTTAGGCGAACGATATTTATAATTCGCTAAATTCATATTGATTCACTCATTTCAATAAACGTTTTGATAATATGTATAATATTTTATGTAAATATAGGTTGGCAAAGCTTTTAAATTATCTCCTATAAAATCAAACGAATAATTTTTCAGAATATTTGCTTTAATTAAGTTTTATAACAATATGAAGAAGAAAATAATAAATAAAAAAGTTTATAATTATATAGCAATCTTATGAATTTTTATTGACAACAAATATTATTATTATTAATAAATATTAAACAAAAATAATAAAATAAATAAATTATTAATAAATCAAATAAACAAAAATTCAAATAAATTTATAATTCATAATTTTTATAATATATAATAATAATATTTACTAATTTATGTATATTTATTAACATATAAATATTTATGAAAAATGAAATTTTTATAAAAAGATATACTTAATTGACTCATTTCATATACCTTTTTTATAAAATATGATTTCTCTTACATAATTGTAATATTCCATTAGTATAAATATTAAATTAAACAAAAAAGACCGTTATTTTATACAAATATATCTTTCCTATAACAAAAAATTTAATTTAAATCCATTTGCTTCAATTGAATATAATACAAAAAGAAAAATGAGAATCGAAAGAAAAGAAAAAAATAAAAATAAGATAGAATAAAAAACATTCACATAGAATTCTCTTTTGAACTGAGTCGACATTTGAGTTCTTTTTTTTGATTAATATAATATGAATATAAAATATAAAATTGAATATAAAAAACCAAGAAGGTTACATAATTTAAATTTTTCTATCACAATGATATACATAATTTATTTTCCTTGAAATGTATTTATTTTACCAAAAAATAAAATTACTGTCTGCTGCAACAAAACAAAAATATAGAAAGAAATAGAACCAAAGAAAGAAGAGAAAAAAAAAAAGAGAAAGAATTGAATGAAAGAAATTCAAAGTTTAAAAAATATCGCAATAATATAGTATCATCTTCAACAAACCTATCCATTACTATTATCTTTTTATTTTCATTGCTAATCATTATGAAATATCAATTTTTTTTTTCTGTATCTTTATATCTCGATTCGATTTGGATGATCCTAAATTTTTTTCCCTATAATCATAATGATAATAATCCTAACGAAATTAAATAAACAACCATTCAAATTTAAAATCATTTCAATATAAGATTTTCTAACAATGTTGGAAAAAATCGATCGGCCAATTCGATATTCT